ATCTTCTTTTATTTATTTTGTAAACAATTGTATATTACTATTTTGAACAGTTTTGAAATTTTATATCATATAACTTGATTTTTATTATACAAAAATTAGGAGTGCACAAAGACACTAACTAGAATTTTCTATAAATAATTATATACTATCCTAATATATTTTTATATACTAAACAAGTTTATTTAAGAGTAGAGTATACAAATTTCTAATTTTATATAAAATAGTTTGTAGATTAACTTTGTGTAATATATTTTATATGATATCATATAATTTACATATAAACATCATATGTTTTAACCAATCAGAATTAGCAATTTCTTATATAACTTAAAAAAATATATAGCGATTTTGGAAACTTTGATCATATATGAAGTTTATTTTTTTAAAGCAATATCTACATATCATTTAAATTTGATAACAATTAACTAAGATATTAAAAAGATTTATCAGAAAATATTTTTTATTTACTATGTAAAAATCTAAAATATTATACAAATTTTATAAAAAATAATCTATATACACCCTATCTTTAAAGCATCAAGATATTATTTATTAGTAAAATTTTGAATAATTAGTATTTTTACTTATTTTACTAATAAAATTATATGGTGCTCCAAGTCACTTGGCATCAAATGTGCTAAATTTGGCTAGATATATTCAATATATCAAATTTAGTCTAAAGCATATTAAAATACACTAAATTTTACTAAAGACCTGAGAAATTCTGCTGTAAACAGTCAAATAATCTAAAATATGAGCATGCTCTTCAGAAAAAAACAGAATATTAGAGATTTTAAATACAGCAATTTTTTTCGTACACTAGTTTTTTGTATACCAATTTATGGATGGCCTAAAATTTAGGATTAGTGCAGGCTGGAATTATATTAATGCCAGCCAGGGTTTTTAAATAAAAAACCCAGCCAGTATTAAAAAATTTCTGCCTTGCACTAATCCTAAATTTTAGGCTGGGCATAAATTGGTATACAAAATATTATAAAATATTACACAAAACTGGTGTACGAAAAAAATTGCCATTTTAAATAATGATAAATACAAAAAAATAATTCGTAGTATCATAGAATCTGCAGAAAATTAGTAACTCTTTATATATTATTTGCTTGCATATGATTTTGAATTTTGAATTATTTGCTTATATATGATTTTGATTTTCGATTACTTGCATATATTTTGATTACTTGTATGTTATGAATTAACTAGAACAACCATCAAATTTACTGTTATGAATAGCACTATCTGCTTTAATTAAGTTAGTACTGGATCTATATTACTATTGTTATAACCTTGTATTAGATATTTGTATATTTTGCATATTGAATTTAGACAGTGCTACTCATATGACAGTAAATTTGATGTTTATTCTAGTTGATTCTATATATTATTTAGGTCATACTGTATTATTTTAGAATTAAATTATAAGCTTAAAAATAGCCAGTATCTTGATGCTTGATAGTTTGTATTCTTTTATATAATTATAATCACTATCATTAACCTTTTATATATATTCAACCATGTTACTAAAAATACAGAACTAAATTTACTTTTGCTAATTTTTGACATTTTAAATTATATATAACATTTTGGAATCTAATCCATTAATATATTATATTAAGTGTATATTATTTTTGAATATGCCTATAAGTTATATTGTTTTGAATCTAATTTTTCTTAGAGGTGTAATTTTTAAACCAAGTTTTTACCATATATACTGTATTATGTATATAGGAGTGAGTCAGTAGAAAAGAGACAAATTTTTCTAAATAAAAGTTTTTTTGACTTTAAAATTAAATATTTTAACAACTATCTTATTAAATTTAATGATTTTTTTTATTTTAATTTTATATAATTTCAAAATTAAAATAAAAAAATTTTTAGCAAATTTGATTAAATAATTATTAAGATATTTTAATTTAAAAATTAAAAAAATTTTACTAAAAATAATTTGTCTCTTTTTTACTGACTCATCACCATATAAGTTATCTAAATAATAATATGCTTTACAATAGTAGACTAGTAGACAGGTCTATTATAGATTTTATTTGAAATAAAAAATTTTAACATATATAATGTTGGATTTTTAACAAAGAATGTTTTTTTTTTTTTACAAAACCTTCAGATAATTTATAAGATGAAATATATATTTCAAAAGCCAAATTTAACAATTCAATAAAATTGCTTTTTATCATAGCATTACTCATTTGAACTCAAAGTAATAATAAATAATTATTATTTTTTAATTCACATTATTTAGCATTTTATCTAACTCTAAATTAATTTTATTCAGTATGTGTCTATGAGAACAATACTTATGCACAGCATATTCTGCTATCTGGCTAGTAAGTTCACATCTATAAGCATCTATATAATGTCATATCTTTTGTACACAACAACATATAGTTGTTAGCGATATAGTGTTAAGTGTTTTAGATATAATAATTTGTAACCTTGCTTATAAATAATCACAATGATTACTATATAGCACTGACTAAAGTACCTGAGTACTATTTTAATAAACTATCAAATTTCTTGAATAGTACTTGCTCAGGTATTAATTACAGAAAGGATACTATAATAGGAGAGTACTTTATATAGTTTTAATATTATTTAATAAGAATCTCAAATCTAAATATATATATCTAACTAGGGTGTAGCAACTTAGTGAAGTTGGTAAGTTGTTGCATCTCCAAGCAGCAGAACAAGAGTTCAAATCCTATTAATAACGAAATTCAAATTTTATAGAATGTGTTACGATAGACTGTGAAATTTGATGAATTATCAGATTTGTAGCTTTAGTTATACCAGCTTGTATTAGAAGAATATGGAACTATAGTATGATGCAAGAGTTATATGAAACCCGAGTGAAGCGTTTGTATAAATTCAAGGGCTGGGGTATATGGAATCCTACTTGGCAAATCCTGAGTAGAGAGATAATACAGATCTTCAACAGCACTATATAAAGGATTATCAACTGAAAAACCAGAAACTGGATAGAACCAAGGTATTCGGCAAGGCACCATACCAACCAGGCTGCTGGTGAGAATCAAAGGAAGAGGTCTGCCCTTCTAGACTATCTGAATTGGGAGTTTGAAGACTGATGAAATAGCAAACGGTCTATAAAGTAGGTATTGGGGTTTGAGTAAACTCTACAAGTGCAAGAGTAAGTAATGGTAGCAACTTCAGCTCGCAAGTACTCGTTTTCAGACTTGGCGTAAATTATCAAAAGACTAGATTAGCCAGATTGTAGGTATGAAAAGCTCTAGCAACGATGCCTCGAGGATAAATTAGTCCTAAGGCTATGGCAAGCATCTGATACTTCTTGACTGACAAATGTAGCGAAGATGTTTCAGTAATAACAAGTGAGGATTGATTGCATTACAGAGAGTTTAAATAGGTAAACCTCTAGTTGGGTTATAGATATAGCAGCTAGTATAGAACCTATAGTGTATAGTTATCTATATATAGACTACTTAAATAAGCATTCAAAAGATGGATGTATGGCTAGTTGTACTCTCTAATATAATTTAGAGTTCTACTGTGAGTCTCTCACCCCTAATATACTTGAATAAAAACCTCTACATTAAAGAGGCTAGTTAATAAAAAAAAAAAAAATATATATATATACATTTAACTAGAATAATACCTGGGTCTTATTTAATTTTCTGAATCATGAATCTATGAATAATACCTGGGTCTTTTTTATAGGGTATTATGATAGAGATACTTTAGTTAGTAATATACAGTATGTAAATAATGTTTTGCAGTACCCTAGTATTGCTCAATAAAATTCAGCTTATAATAAAACTTGTAGTAAAATATACAAACATGTCTTCATTCAACAATAAATTCTTCTAATGCTGATTTTTGCATAGCAAAATCAGGTTATGCAAACAAAAGATGATATATATAACAATTAGGTATATTGAATTATAATAGTTATTTTCACACTTTAGTCTTAAATCATTAGTAAACTATAAATTGTACTTAAGAAGTACTTAATGAATCTCCTTTGGCTGATTGTGAAAGACATTATTAGGATCATTAGGAGGAAGGTCTTCAAGAAAAATTATTGACTGAGTAACTTGTTCATCTTGTGTATTAATAAACTAGCTATCATATAATCATGACTGTTTACCATCGAGATAAAGGTTCATTTTTTTAACACATAATACATCATTTGCAAAAGCACTATAGTTGGTATTGTTATTAAATACAAAGACACCAACACAGTTTAGATGAATTGCATCGAAAATAAAAATTGCTTTATTAGCTACTTATGTAAGCAAATCAGAAACATTTTACTAATTATTATTATGTTTTTCTGGTTTAATAATTTTGCGAGCCTCTTATAGAAATGTCGATAGTAGGTTTAATTTATTTATTTTTGCAGAAGTAATTATAAGATGACTATAAGTCTCAATTAAAAATTCTGAAATCATTAGTACTTTACTCATTTCCTTTTTATATAATAATAGTATACCAAAAGAAGCTCATACTGAAAGACAACCATCATTAGTATAAAATACAGTATATACTCATTGTGAATAACAAAAATATATATTTTTTCTCCTTCACTTAATTCAGGATTTATAACTATTTTTATATTTTTGCCAACAAATTGTAGTATTAATTGTTCAAAATTTTTCATTCTTTCAAGAAATATAGCTCAATATTGTACAATATTAAAACATTTATGTCTATCATAATAAACTTCTTGTTGATGTGATTAATATACAAGGCCAAGACAATGAAGCCAAGTTTGAGCTTTTTCTAATGAAATTGATGTGTAAAAGCCAGTAATATGTGATAAAATATTGTTCTTAATATAAATTTAAAATTTTTCTGCAGTTATCCTTTCACTAATAGTATGAATAAAACATAAACAAGATCTTTGTCATCAATAAACTTTGATATATATTTTTGTTGTCTTTGTTTAGAGGCAGATATAGTTCCAATACTATTTAACTTTTTGACTACTCATGAATTTAATATACAATCCATAAACTATGTTGAAAGATCTGTTGTGATATTTCCAAACTTAATTTTATACGAGTTTGTAATTTTTCATAGTCAAAAATTTTGGTAAGATATTTATAAACAGCTAGATGGTGAAGATATTTATAAGCATTCATATGTTTCATATTATTAAGTGTGTTATTTAATTTATTTAACTGTTCTGAAATAGAATTGTCATTTGTTTTATCTAAATCACTTATATCTGAGTCCAATATTTTATACTTAATATCTAATTTTGTTTTTGGTTTAAAAAAAGAGAACTGTTATTGCCACCACCTATTTTTGTTAATGCCACCCCCTATATAATCCTAACCAGTCTAAAATATTAAAAATTCTACAAATAGTATTTAAAAATAGTATGAATTTATGTAATTAATTAGTTAGCAGTTAGAGTAAGCATTGTTTATAGAGTTTTCAGAAAGGTTAAAAGTTAATTAGAGTTATGTAGAGGGTGGTATTAATAAAAATGGGGAGTGGTAATAGCAGTTTCTTAAAAAAATTATCCAAACTCATTGATCCTTGTACTGCCTTCTATAACTCTTTATTTTTATGTTGCTGAGTATATTTTGAACCACCAGAATAATATAATAACTAATCATCAGTCACATTATTATCTCACTTTAAGTTATAAAAAGAATTATCTTTATTAATTAACTGTTTAGCTTCTTCATTAGGTTCTATCTTATTATCAAATTCTTTCTTATTATTGTTCTTAGATTCAAAAATTAAAAGCTCAGAATCACTATATTCTGAATTACTATTTTCCGTGTCTATAGTTTTTAAAAACTTTCCTTTATTATCTCTACTTTGTATAAGTATATATTCTTTTGCAGCATTTTTACATTTTGATTTTGGCATGATCAAACTTTAAAATAGAGTATAATAAGACAATAGTTTTAGAATAAAATATCACTTTATATATGTTTTTTACAATATATAATATAATTAAGTTTTATTGTTTTATTTAAAATTATATTAACTATATATAATATTTATAAATTTGAATAAGTTTTTTTAGCGTTAGTATTATGATATAGTAAAAAAATTTTTATAAATTAATAGATTTTTACCTTAATAGATTTAATCTCAATAATCTATTGTTATTGCAGAAGTTTTAATCAATTTACATGTTTCCTTTCTATTACTTATTAATATATTCATAGATAACATAGCTGCACTACTATAAGTGTTATTGATAATGAGATAAAATACAATAAAAAATTATTAAAGCATGAAACATTCAGTAGAAAATTATTAAAGTATGAAATATTCAGATGAAAATTATATATTCTTATGCTAAAAAAATATTATTACGATAGAATATTGTGAAGTAAAACTTAATCAGGTTTCTTTTATTTGATTGTTCTTTTATAGAGATATTAGATAAATCGAATTAGTTTGATTATAAATTTGATTAAAGTAAATTGACATTTTCAATTCAAATATATAGCTGTTGGGCTTGGTTAAATCAGATCTTTTTACTATTACTATTATTATATAAATATGGATAAGTATTATCTTTAATATTTAGTTTTATTAATTCTTTTACTATATAAAACTATTAATTAATCAATTAAATTTACTTTTTTATTTTTTAACAGGAACTGAATTTTAGCTTCTGTTGATATGTTACAATCTGGATGCAAGAGGATTTTACTTTTCTGTTCAGGGTCTTTCTTATTAGCATTTTGGTAATAACCACCCAATATTAGATAAGTTATTTTTTACTTTTGGCTTTATTTGGTTCATTTCTTTCTTTCTTTTATACTAACAAAACTCTTTTCTCTTATTTTAAACTGTGCTTTCACCCACAACATCTACGTATTTATTTTTATTTTTTTTTTTTAATGTTAAGGTGACCACTTTGGGATCTGGCATGTTTTATTAAACTTTGGATCGAATACCAGGGCAGCCACAGGGCTACCCCTGACTTTGTTACATTAACGAGGATACATACTCTACGTATTTATTTAATAACCAGATTTTACAATTATTGTTATTAATTTTACAATTAGGAAGAGTGACATTCTGATTTATTAATCCCTTTTTATTATAGTGATTTACTGTATTAAACTACAAAATAATGACATAATTGGTAGTATGATTATGTATAAACTATATTAAACTGGTAGTATAATTATACACAAACTATATTAGACTAACAGTATAATTATGTATAAACTATAATAAACTACAATACAATTATGCATCCAGCTTAAACTTGTTTATTGATTTTATCTAATATATATTAATTTATTTGCACAAATTTCAATGATCGAATCTAAATTATCGGCTAAAGAACTTAGAAAGTATAAAACCAATTTTTTTAAAAAAATTAATTTACAGAAGACAGGATGAACTAACCTTCATGTCAATTTTATGTAAATCAATACATGTAATTAATATGATGCTAATTTTGTGTATATTATATATAGTAATATAATACCAATTTTATAACCTATATAGTAAATTATACAAATTTCTTAACTATAACTGCTTATAACATAAATATTTAGATTTTTAAAAAAAATTTAACTGATAAATCTAATAGAGTTACTTAAAAATAATCATTCTTATCAGTTATTTTTTTAATAAATTTTTAAATTTTTTAGTTATAAAATTTTAAAAAAGTAAGCAGAATTTGATAAGAAGTAACTTGAAGCACTATAGAAAAGTTACTATAACTTAAAATTTTATTAATATAGTATTTTAGTGCTCTAAGTAAACTTGTTCAATATATAAAATTATATTTAAAAAGTATTTTTTTATTTTTGTTTTTTTTTGATATTAAGGTAACCACTTTGGGGTTTGGCATGTTTTATTAACTTTGGTTATAAATATCAGAGCAATCACAGAGTCACTTCTGGCTTTGTTACATTAATGAAGATATATTTTAGCCATATCTGCACCTTTTGAGCATCTAATTTAAATAGTCTGCTTATTACTAAGTTCTATACTAAATGCTGTACCTGTAATCCACTATTATTTGAGTTACCTAATTAAACCTTCTGATCAACTTAACACTGTCAAATATTCTTTCTGAAGAGGAACTTCTGCTAAGGCCCCTTAGGATTACTTTATCCTCATAGTAAATCTGCTAGAGCTTTCCATATCCACAATTTGGCTAACTTAGTCTTTCAGTTGATATATATAGACCGAGATTCACTACTTGTGGCTAGGGTAAATGGCATAGCTAAAAAATCTTGTATGCTATATAGTATACCAACCACTAAAGTTTGTGTCAGGATACGACCTTGGCATGCTATTAAACCATGCGATAATATACTCAATTGGAATTGGTTAGTTATTATCTACTATAAAATAACCTTTTAGAATACTTCAGAGCATTGCTCTAATTTTTCTTTCAGAATTTAGATTATTTTATTTTCTATTAAAAACCTTTTGGAATATATATAAATGGCATGTCCTATAAGCAATTTGAGCATTGAGCATATCTATAGCATACTAATAATCTCTATGCTACTTACTCTACTTGTGGACCAGTTTCTATAATAAAAGTATTCTTCGGCTATTTTGTTCTTACCAGTTTTTTTACAACATTTTAACTAACTATGGCCTAATCTCTGCTATATAATCTACTCCTTACCTTATAGTGTTTACTTAAATTCTAGTACCCCCTTCAGGACAACTCAGTATCTTTTTTTTTTTTAGTACCCCTAGCTGATCTTCTCAGACTACCAATCCAGATAGCCTAGAAGATAGAGATTGGAACTATCTAAAATTTTTCTTAATCATTTAATCGTTTAATCATTTAATTGTTTAACCGTTTAACTATTTAATTTGGCTAGCATTAAGATAATTCTGACCCACAATCAATATAATTTGTCTAGAATTATGAACAATTTTTAAACGATTAAATAATTACAATTCCTACTGGAAAGAATATTAGTCCCTTAATATTTGTATTGCAGATCTTTTTTCTCTGATGTTCCAGTAGCCTGATTGTTGGAGTACCTTTCTCTAAATACCTGGTCCTCACCTATTATACTAGCTTTGGGTGAAGCCTATTCTAGTAGTGATTATCAAAAGGTTTCATTAATTCTCTATTCAGAACTTGCCAAACAAACACTCTAATATTGTATTAGCTTTATAGCTTTCTGTGATTCTGAAGGACTTATCGAGTGTTTGCACTAACTAAACCAGCTTGTATGCCTTTATGTAATTTCTTTATTACACAAATGCCTTAGGATCTTCTAATTGTTATTTTGATATGATTATAATTACAGGATTTCGAGTTTTTTAGCTATGGTAATAGTTGTCAAATCTGTTTTTTTCTAAATTCAATTTTTGCCTTTCATGAAAATTAAACTAGTACTTGACCACTTGGGGGTGTGACAACTTCATCACTTCACAAAGTTACTATATCTATTTTCTTTTTTTTAAAAAATTAATAAAAAATAAAATTATAGTATAATTATCAAAAAATAATCTTAAAATCATTATATTATTTTTTATAGTAAAATAATCTTATAAGTATAAATTTATGAAATTATTATCTTTAAAATTATCTTAAACCTATTGAAAATTTTTAGCTAGTTTCTATAAAGTGATATAAAAGTATAGTTATCAATAACTACTATATGATAATACCATTAATACATAGATATTAAATAATAATATATAATATCTATATATATTTTTTTGAAACCTTTTATAATAATTATATAAAATTGATTTTAATTTTTTAAAAAAAGTGAATCTATTTGTTGTTAGTAGTGATATTCTGAAGTATAATTAACTAATTAGATCACAAGATTATATATATTGTAAAAAATGGAAAACTTTAATTTTTAAAAAATTACTATTATTTTAAATTTTCATCTATGAAACTATTTTAACAAAAAAAAATTCTTTGTAAAATTTTACTATATATAGTACTATGTTCTACTTAAACCTTTTTTTTTTTTTTTTTAATGTTAAGGTGACTACTTTGGGGTCTGGCATGTTTTATTAAACTTTGGGTCGAATGCCAGGGCAGCCACATGGCTACTCCTGACTTTGTTACATTAACGAGAATACATACTAGCCATATGTACAACTTTTGGTTGTCTATTTAAGCAGTCTTGCA